AGCAGGGAGCCCGATGCGGGGCTCGATCCCAGGACCCTGGGATCATGACCTGAGCCGAAGGCAGCCGCTTAACCAACTGAGCCACCCAGGCGCCCAGAGAGATGGGTTTTGCTTAAAGGTCCCCAAACTCCTTCCCTTCCTGCAGCCCAGGAAAGGCGAAGGGCCAATAATGGGAGCCTTGGGCCTGTCCCAGCCCCACACTGCCCTCTTCCTCTGGCTCCCCTCTGACCTCTCGGAGCAATTTCCTTCTATCTCTTAGGCCTCATATCAGAGGCCATCTGATGTCACCAGCACTTGCGTCAACACTGCTTCTAGCCTGTGAACTCATAATTCGTCTTTGTGTCCCCCAAGGCATTGGCACCCCAAGGGTCAGATGGGCATACGGACAGACGCAGGAACGGATGGGTGGAGGCAGGAAGGTAAGCACTGGTCCAATTACCTTTGAGAAGAAGAGGCATGAAGGGGATGATGGGGGGGGAGAGCTTGGTGAGGAGCAGTCGATAGACTCGGTGGTTCCATGAGGGGTCCTGAGAGGGAAGAAGCCTCAGTGAGGGAGGGACATGACCCACCACGCACCACGACACAACCAAACACCATCTGCTCGGAGCTCAGCTTCCTCTGGGCCCCAGGTCTCCCTGAGGCGGGCTCCGCAGCAGGCGGGAGGGGACCTGAAGCACGGCCAGACCGGCCATCTGCGCATACGGCTTCCTGGCCTCTGGTTAACCCCCCAAGCACACTTCAGGGGCCCTGAGGTTTCATAGAAACCACTCCCCCCCCCCTTCTGTCTCTGTCCCTGTTCTTGTTTCTGTCTGTTTTTCCCTTTCTAGTAGGTAAATTCCTTTGAACCTCTTGAGCCCACAAGGTAGATTTTTTTCTCAAGAGCTCAGAGCCAGGCTGATAAAAACACCTTTGTGTGAGTTCTCTCCTGAACACTCTCAAAACCTCTTAACCACCCCCCCCCCAACAATTCCTGGCAGGGGGTGGGAGGGGAAGCCAGCTCCTCAGCTTTTCCCTCCTCTGTGGCCTCCTCTAGCGTCCTCCAGCATCTCCTGAGGGGCCACTGACAGGCCCTGGCACACTGTGGGCCTGGCGCCAGGACTTGCTTCCTGGACCTGAGGCAGGTCAGCTGGAGACCCATGTTCCCCGGATGTTCGCCTGGTGCTTCGGAGCCCAAGGCCAGACACCACATGTGCCCTGTCCTGGTCTTCACACAGGACGTCACAGCCACAGCCAAGGCTCCCCCACCCCCACCCCCAGCATACGGCATATAACACGCTGGGCACCCCCCTCATACCGCTAACACTCCACGCCTCACCAGCTCCCCAAACGTACAGCCCAGAGGGAATCCCACTCTGGCCCAGGGCTGGAAACCCTGGAAGTGGCCGGAGACAGGTAGAGAGGCTGCCGGGAAGCCCAGAATCGGGGTTTCTGGAAGGAGGAGCCAAGGCCCAGCACTCACCAGCAACCTCTCGAGGGCCGAGTACAGCTTCCGGACTTTGTGGGGCAGCCGCTGTGAAGCAGAGGCAGATGGAGCTCTCACTGCTCTGGGATGGGAGCCCCATCCCCAACCAGCACTCCCAGCATGGGCACGGGCCGTCCAGATCACACCTACCTCCCACGTGTGGGCCAGGCGGCTGATGGCCGAGTTGCTGAGGCCAAACATGATGGCAAAGAAGGAATTGAGATTTTTTTGCTCCTTGAGGCTATGAGTGGAAGACCCAGAGGATCTCAGGGGAAACAGCCACACCCTCAGAGTTCCTACCCAGACAACAGCCGGCCTGGGGCCCAGGATCAGGTCCAGCCAGCGCTGCCTCTGTGGGGGCTGGGCGAGATGGGGTGGGGAGGCAGAGACTCTAGGAGACCCAGGGAAGCAAGGGGAAGGCAGATTTGGCAACATACTGACCAGGGACGGGGACATGAGATAGGCGGCCTCGGGACTCTGCCACACACCCACCCAGCCCATAGGCACTCACTGGGCAGCCAGCTTGATGAACTTCCTGAGCAGCTGGGCCCGCAGGCTCGGCACGGGGCAGAGACACAGCTCCGTGGCCACCCAGTACTGGAGCTCGTTGAAGCGGCGCATGAAACGCTCCAGGTTGGCAGTGGTGACGTCCCGCAGATGCTGGGGCCCCAGCACATAGTGGATCAGCTCCACCTGGGGAGGGGGCAGCAGGAGAGATGAGCCCACACCAGGCGGGGTGTCCCTGCCATCAGCGCTCCTCCCCTCAGCTCTGCTCCCTGCACCTGGTGGATACTGTTGAAGAGGCTCCAGTCGTGGTCCGTCAGCTGGCCCGCCAGGTCCTTGGCACTCACCAGGTCCAGCCCCTCAGCGGAGCCCACAGTGGGCCCCAGCTGCTCGGGGTGTGGGGTCTGTAGGTGCAAGAGAGCTCAGGAGGGGTACCTGAGGAATCCAGGGGGCAGGTGCGGGGTAGGAGGAGAGAGTTTGGGGCAGAGACTCCATGCCCATGGTCCAAGGCACGTCGGGGAGGATAAGGGTGCCACCAGGAGTAGGCCTCTGAAGGGTAAGGCTTCCCAAGGAGTTGTCTATCCTCCTGCCAGCTCCCCAGTGCTGAGATGCCCTCCTTGTAGGGCTCCTGTCTCCTGGGGAACCCCCAATGAGGGGAGGTCTTCTTTCTCCTTGAGAGCTCTCAACCAGCTCTCTCCCTTCCCCAGCATCTGGTACCTTCCATCAGTTGAGGCCCACTCCTTCCACTTCACCCTTAAGACCCAGCGGCAGTCAGAGCCAGGCCCTCCTCTCTCCTCTCTGTGACCCTCCCCTGCACCCACCTCTGCCACCCCCAAAACACAGCTCCTCCCCGGCCCCCTGCCTGTTCCTACCAGTTCATGCACTTCCTGTGGGTTGACAACAAAGAGCCGCTCGTTGAGCCCGAGGGATGTGGCCACACCGCGGGCCTCTGGCTGCAGGCCAATGGCATCTGCAAAGAGAGCAGAGGCTGGGGGGGGGGCGGGGGGCAGTGGTGGGCAGAGAGGGAGGCCAGGGAGCTACGGAGGGCAGGGTCGAGGCCCCAGGCGGGAGGTCCCTTCTCCCAGGAGCCGGGCTGGAGTCCTGGGCAGGTGCACCGAGTGCACAGGCGTCTGCGCCCCCCACATCCACACTGCCCAGGTTAGCACGCCGAGGAAGACGAGAAAGGATGGTTAGAGACGATACTCGGCAACGGCGGAGACTCCCTGAGTCTCCTTCTTTGTCAGATGGAGACAGCAAGACCAACCCCGACTACTCGCGAGTCTAACAAGTTAATTTATGGAAGCAGTGGCAATAAGTAGACGATGCATGTAACGGCCCTTTGAAAACTGGGAAGTGCCCCACACGGGGCTTAGTGTTGATTTTCATCAGCAACTACCGACCGAGACCGTGTTCCTAGTCATGCGTGAATCCCTACTCTCTAGACCAGTAGCCTCCAAAGCAAGACCATCCTATGTCCAAAAACTATCAGCTCTTCTTCTATTTATTTTTCTCATCTGTTTTTGCTGGTTTACTTTGTGGGTAGCTTTAGAATTATATAATGTCAGTGTGCGAGTATATGTATATGACTTCCAAGCAAGTATACACATAACAGGGGGCTTGTAGTAAAAATATTGGTTACTGACATGGGAGGTGATCTAAACAGTGGGAAGGAAGGTCAGTACTCTCAACAGTTCCTGTCCGGTAGCAGAGTCTCTGGTCCTGGGGCAGCTGCAACTCTCTGGGTGGCCACCAGAGGGCGGTGCTTCCCAGAGCAGAGCACAGGACCACGTGACTGCAACCCGTCTCCCCACTTCCCGAAGGAGGAGAAGGGTTTGCTTTTCTGGCCTCCACTCCTTGTCATTATTCCCTGGGTGCCCCTAATTCCTGTCTACCCTAGGCTCCAGCTGTCAGCCCCGGGCTGCGTCCTCCACGGAGAATGAAGAGTGGTTTCTGATGGCCCAAGTTCCCTGAAAGCAGGTCTAAATAATTCTCATGCTGCCATGTTCTGAGCACTAACTTTGTGCAAGCCCCATGCTAAGTGTTTTATATATGTGATCTCTTTTATGGCCACAGCAGTGCTGTGCGATGGGTACAGTGTTAGTGCTCATGCGACCGATGAGGAATCGGAGGCTCAGCAAGGTTAAGCACTCTGCTTAGATCAGGATCACACAGCTCGTCAGCAGTGGGTCCTGGGATCCCAACCCAGGTTAGGGGATCCTGTGGATGCTCTTAACCACCAAGCTTCTTATCTTACCTGCCATGGTGCCTCCAGCTCCTAACACATTGCTGGCCCATAGCTGACTCTCAAACATGTTTGCCAACTGACAAAATGAATGAAGACTACCTAAATTCAAAAGCCAGACACTCTCATTTACTGTATGAACTCGGGACAATTGCCTCATCCCCTTGAGTTTCAGTTTCCCTGAATGAAAATAGGATGAAAGTACCTATCTCATAAGGTGGTTACCAGGACTCAATGAATAGATGAGGATGATAATAATAAAACTAATGTACAAAGTGCTGTGCCAGGCACCGTTCTAAACCCTAAAATAGATACGCCCATTCAATCCTCACAGTTCCTCTGCGAGGTCGGCACTCTTACCAGCCCCACTGAACAGATGCTGAAAAGAGCACAGAGAGATCAAGTCTCCTGCCCAAGGACACACAGACCGGTAGCTAAAGGGCTGGGCTCAACTGCTGACGGCAGGCTCCAGAGCTCATGCTCTCAAGCACTACATGCAAAGCACTTTGGAGAGACATAATAAACTGCCCTTAAATGCTAGCCATCATTAACACTGATGAAGACGATCAAAACGCTGATCTTAATTCGAGGGGTGGGATTTGGGCACAGACTGAGGGGCCCCCTCCCTCGGAGCCACCCCCCCTCCCCAGAGACACACTCACGGCCTGTAGAGTTGACCTTCACCAGCACCTGCCCCTTGGTCCAGCCATCCTCCTGGGCCAAGGCTGCCATCACCTCTCTCACGGAGGCCGTCACCGGCAGCTTCAGGGTCAGCACCGAGTGGTCGGGCCGGCAAATGTCATAGGGGACTGTGGAGGAAGACCAGGCCGAGCTGTAGGAAGGGGCTTCTTGGTCCCCCCAGCAAGAAGTGAGCATGCAGCAAGCGCAGCAGTGGGAGGGGCCCGAGGAGGCAGGAGGGGTGGTGACTGACGGGAAGCCTGGGTGGACCCGCTGCCCAGAGTGGGGGGGAGGTCGTGAGCTGGGAAGGGAGGGAGGGAGGCGCAGGGTGGGGGGGGCACACCCCGTCTGGCAGCCTGGAACAGAGACCCCGAGGAGTCCGTCGCGCCCTCCTCGGCCAAGCATACTAAGGTCAAGGATGACGACCTCAGGCTGCAGCCTCTGCCCTGGCTGGCCCGGACCACCAACCTTTGTCCCCAACTCGAATGGCACAGTTGCTGCTGGGGAGGGGCTGGTCCTGGCCCGGGAGCCAAACAGGCACGTTCCTGGCCTGAGAGGGAGAGAAAGTAAGGCCCCGGAGGCACAGGGGAGAGTGCACAGAGCCACGCAGAGGCCTCTGTCCCTGGGAGCGGGGGACCCACATGGCGCACACACCATGTGGGCTCTGCTTGCTGCGTGGACCTGAGCCAGGGAAGGCGTCAGACACCAAGGCTCCCCGAGGTGAGACAAGCCAGTGCCCCTGTGAGTGCGTGTCAGCCCCTTTGCCAAATAGGCCCAGAGCTGTCCTAATATGAACATACCTCAGCCGTTGGCCCTGGTTTTGTCTTCCTTTTCCTCCTCTGGCTACCATTTGCTATTGGCCATTTGCTGCGTGCTAGGCTCAGTACAGGCTTATTCTAAGTATCTAAATAGTCACAATAGCCCTTCAGGGCTGACGGGGCAGCCATGCCGGGCAAAGGCCTCCATAATACAACTCCTCTGCCCACTCCCAGATCTGAATGGGGCCGATCCTCCGAGTTCAGACCCCAGCCACAGGCCTTCTCTACTCCACGTCTCAGAGCTCTCCCCAGACATCTGCACAGCCTCACACCACCTGCATGCGGAAGTTGCAGCATCGCCCTCTCTTCCAAGCACCTCTGGGATCCTTCCATATCTGGGCTCCATCCCCCCAGACTCAACACCTCCCTCAGACCCCCTCATCCTGCCTCCCAGCTGTTCTCCTGGGCATGGCTCCCGCCTCTCCCCGCCCCCTGCCCCCCCATTTCTGCAAAGCTTATCACCTTGTTCTGGGGGTTCCTCTGAGCCCCTCCTCCCAGCCCAAGCCAACCCCCAGTTCCACTTGCCCAGTTGTCTCCCCCCCTCATGTGCTACAATGGCCGGACTCTTCTCTACTGTCAGTCCTCGGGTGCCTCCAGCTCCCCCCTTCCAGTCTGCCTGACCAGAGCCAGATTAAGCTTCCTAATGCAGCTTCAAGGCCATCATTGTCTGCTGGATAAAGCACGGGGTCCTTAGCTGACCTCCTCAAAACACACATTCAACCTTGTCCACCCATGGCCCCAACATCTCCAAGGAATCACATTGTTCAGAGGACAAAGCCCAAACCCCTCAACATGGCACACAGGGCTCTACGTGCTGTGGGCCCTGCCTGCCTCCCCAGCCCCCTCTGGTGGCTCCCTCTCACACTCCCTCTGCAGGGTCCCGAACAGGTGGACTCCCTGCCCTGTCGAACCTCACTGTGGGCCTCTTCCCCCCCGACCCTCCCACCCTGTAGCTCTCAGCTCTTGCAGTCACTCTCCCTGATCCTGACCCCGAGTCGGCCCTTCCCTTCTCTGTTTTCAGAGACTCCTGCCTTTGCCATTATGCATCAGGACGCCGTGCAGTCTGTCTGCGAGCCCCACAAGGCCCGGGGTGGCTGGCCCCCGCCACTGCAGCATCATCAGCACCTAGCAGAGTGCCCGGCACATGAGGGCGATTCCATACTAGATCCTGAGCGTCCGCCGCGAGCCACAGGTGCCGGCCCCTCACTCTGGAAGCCAGTACTCTAGCTGGGTGGGGCAGGCACTAACAGGATAAACAAAACAACCCCACAGGGCCTGAGGCTTTGACGACAGTCATAGAAGACACCTTGTCAGGAGAGGGCGGTGAGGGGTGCTCTGGATAGGGAGATGGGAAGGGGGCCTCTCTGAGGACCCAACATTTTGGCTGAGATCAGAAAGATAAGGATTTGAGTGGGCAAAGAGCCAGAGAAAGAAAGTTCCAGGCCCTGAGGTGAAAACAAGCTTTGCCTAGAGAAGAGAAGGAGCCTGTGAGAGTCTCTAGCAGGGAGGGGGTGGGGAGGGGACACAGGCCACTGGGCACAGAGAGCCTGGTGTTTATTCCCAGTGCAGCACTCCCCACAACCAGCCCCATCCTACCGTTCCAGCCCTTTCTCCCACCCTTCCTCAAGAAATCTCGGTTCCAGCCACACGTTCTCAGCCCCCTTCGCTCCCTGTGGGCCCCTGCCAGGAATGGTACCAGCCACCTCTGACTCCCAGGAACCCCTGGGCTTCAGAGGCTGCCTTCAGGCACCATCCCCTCCCCCCAACCCCCGGGGAACTGCTAACTGGCTCTGCGAACATGGAATACCTCCCAGATGCAATAGAAGCCCCTTGGGGTGAGGTAGGGATGGAGGGGTGACCCTAGACCTCTGTGTCTCCCCACTAGGCCTGGCCCCCACGCCACACCCAGCCCCTGCTCTGTGAACACCTATCCCAGCCCCAGGGGTGTGTCTGTGCATGGGGACCCTTTCCAGGCTGAGCCCCTGGGGTGGGGGCTGAAGGAGGGGCAGAGGGAAGAAGCTGGGGCCAGACAGAGAGGAGAGGAGCTGGTCTGCGCAGGCACCTTCATCTGAGGAGATGCATTCCCACAGCCATTTTCCAACCTGGGGAGCAAGCGAGAAGGGCAGTGAGATGCGGTGAGCCAGGGACCCCTTCGGGCAGGACGGGGCAGGGGGTGGGGGGTGGGGGGCCTGGCTCTGGATTCCATCTACCCTCAGCAGAGGCTCAGAGCTTTGCAGACTTGCTAAATACCAGCTAGAGGGGGCAAAGCCGGGGCTCGAAACTCAGCCCCTGCCTTCTGGGATTTCCGCAGGCCAGCAGGGGGGAAGGAAAGAGAGTTCCAGGAAGTAATGTGCCCCAGGTGTCAGGCTGGGCAGGTGAGCTCTCCCTGAACCTCACCTGGCCCCATGGGAATGTCTGGGAAGGCCAAGAGAAGCTCTAGGGAATTCACCGGGCTGGGCCAGCAGGACAGGGCACCGAGGATGCTCGGAGTAAGTATGTGCAGAATGGAGAGAGTGGGAACGGCAGGTGCGCTCGGGAGAAGGACATGTGAATGCCTGTGTGGCGCAAGACAGTGCGTGAGCGTGGCGCGAGGGGGAACAGCAAGGGGACTGGTAAGAACAGGACTAGACAAATGAGCAGCCACAGCCAACACTCGCATAGCTCACAGCGCCTGCAAGGCATGGCTCTGTGCTCAGAAGGCGCCGTGACACCCCATGCTCGCGAGATGGGTGCTCTCCCGGTGCTGGGGACGAGAGCCCGGAGCCCGGGGGCGGGGGGGGGGGGCGTGCCCAGAGCAGCAGGGCCATAGGCGGTGCAGCCTGGATTTCCAGCGCGTGTTTGTGTTGGTGTCCAGCGTGGGTGCGGTGTTCTCCGTCCCCAGTGCACCGCCCGCCACGCATGTGACAAGTGAACGTGGAGCCCAAGCATCACCTGTGGTGCCGCCGCCTCTCCGGCCACTGCTCCCTCAGCAGGAGGCAAAGCCGGGCGTCTCTGCTCACCAGGTCTGAGAGTTTCTGGGAGGAGCCAAGATTCATTGACCCGGAGGTAGCTGCACCCCTCCCGGCAGCCCGGTCCAGCCCTGCCTCACTCCCAGGTACCTGGAGAAAGCTGGTGGCCACGGGGTCCATGTGGAGCATGGGGCCATAGAGGGCCACCCACTGGCTGACCAGCCGCAGGATCTGCTGCCTCTTGTTGCAAATGTAGGTGCTGTGCTCCTGCTCGCTGCCCCCTGAAGGCTCCGCATGGAAGGTGGGCGCCAGTCAAGGGAACCACAGCGGCCAAGCGGGCCACCCACCACACCTCAGGCAAAGGAGGGGCAGGGCTGCCCGGGGCCCGCTGACAGGCAGAGGGGTTCAGCACAACCCTGCTCTGAGAGACCCCTTCTCCCTGTTCCATACAACCTCCTCGTCCCCCTGGGTCTGGAAGGATATTGGTGCAGGAGGGCAGCACAGAGCTGCGCACTGGGCATGAAGACACTGTAGGTCAGGAGGAAGTCACTGAGGAAGGTCTCTGTAGGGCAGGGACAGGGGAACAGGAGGAAGCCTCAGAGGTCAAGTCTGCCGAGCACAGACGTCTGCGTGGCTAGAGTTCCCTTCTCCCAGTCCTGTGGTGGGCAGTGTCCCAGCAAGGCCCAGGTCCTGTGACGGCACTCCCCACCCAAGCCAAGGGCACAGGAATGAGGACTTCCTGCTGGCCCAGCCCAGCACCCAGTGACGTCACACTCAGGGTGCCTGGCCCTCTCCCAGACTACGTTGACCACCCAATGAGTCACACAGCAGGCAGGGTATCTCTTGTCCCTACCTGTTGGGTCGTGAGCACTGGAGTCAGGTCGCATGGCCTCCAACAGCAGTTCTAGAATCTTCTCTGGGGTGCCAGACATCACTGTATACCTAGCAGAAACAGCCGATCCATAGCCCTTCCCCCCATCTGGACAGACAGCAGGAATCACATCACCCTTCCCTATCTGCCAGCTCTGTCCCACCTCAGGGGTGGAGGGAAGCTCGCTCTGGGGGTGCATCTGGTCCCCGGAAGCCCCTCCCCCCCACCCCGGGAGGCCAGCGAGCAAGGGTAAGACATGCGGGAAGGGAGTAAAGCCCGGGAAACGGAAGGAGAGAAGGTGGGCAAGAGGGAAAGTGTGCAGGAGTGTGGCAGGTGTATTACCGGTTCCTGCCTGGGGTTGGGGGGCGAGAAGGGCCAGCGCCCTGAGAGGCTCTCTCCAGCACCAACACCACTTTGCCATGTTCTTCTAGCCTCATGGTCTTTGCTTCCACATCCTGGAGAACAAGCCACACCCTGTGCTCAGTACACACCACGCGTCCTTTCCCCCTTTCCAGGGCATCTCCCTCCACCTCCATGCCAGACCCTGGGCCCCACAAGGCACCCACAAGGACATTCAGCCCTTCTCCCACCCCATTCAATGCCCGTGACCTTGGATCTGCCCTACTCCCAGTCCTGCCCATCATGCAGCCTGAGCCCCGCTCCTCCACCCATCCCTCCCCCACCTCCTTCTGTGGCTCCCACTCTCCATTACTCTGCCTCCCCTCACACCCTAGTCTCCCCCGACCCTTCCGTAACCCTCCACCCCCATGGTCTCCCACACTGAGCTGGGGTTCTCCAGTTTCATTGAACCTCCTCAGTGTGCTAGAGACGTCCCCACATGCCCACGCCCCAGCCATCACCTCCAAGCTTCTCCAGCTCCTACCTCGCCATGATCCTTATAGACCCTCTCTGGTCCCTGCCGCTTACCCCCTGCCACTTCCCCAGAGAAGGATCCTGGCCATGTCCCCTGCCCTCCCCACCCCCAGTAACGGCACCTTGATGATACGGTTGAAGTCTTGCTTGTCCACGCGGAGGAAATGACAGTTGTCTTCTCGTAGGATGATGGTGGCTGCCCGGGGTGCGTCATTCACCAGCGCCAACTGTCCAAAGTCATCTCCCTCGTGCAGTGTGGTCACCAGCCCCTGCAGCCAGGTCTCAGTCATAGCCCAGCCAGGCCCCCCAACCCTCGTCAGAGCAGATCCATGGCGGGAGAGCCCCTGGGCAGGAGGAGACCTGGGGGATTGGCAACCTTGGGTCCATCGAGGTCCTGCCCACGAGGGCTTGGACCAGGGAAGCAGGTACCACCGAGAGGGCCGGGGAGAGAGGGAGAACTCACCTTGCCATGGGTCACCACGTTGACAGACCCCTTCCAGATGATGTACCATGAGGTGCCCTTGTCTCCCTGGCTGAACACTGAGAGAAGCGCCAATCAGACACCTGGGGTCACCTGCACTTCTCTGTGGCCTCTGCCGCGTCCAGACCCCTGGCGCCCGGCGTCCTGACCGCCCCCCCTCCCCGGTCTGACTTACACACGGTCCCTGCTTTGCTGTGTGGTTCAAAGAGCAGAACAGCCGCTAATTCCCGCTTCACCTGTGAGGCGGGAGCAGATGGTCAGCGGGGCGAGTCCGGGGTAAGAGGGGCCAGGCTAGCAGGGAGGTTAGGTCCAAGGACACAAACGCCCGGGGAGTGGGGGGGGATGTGCGCAGAGATGCGGCTAGCTCAGCTGCCTGGGATTCAGCAGGAGACAACGCCCGGGGAGGAAATGTGCTGGGGCGGGGGTGGGGGGGAGGGAGAAGGATTTTTGGACAAGGATGCTGGGAACCAGAGATGGACATTTCCAAGCCAGAGGCCGAAGCGGGGGGAAGCATCTTCTGGCCCAGCAGTTGGGGCCTCAGGGGTTCACAGGGAGAGGAGGTCCTGGGGAAGGGGTGGAGGCGGGCGGACTGACCGAGTTGGAGAGGTGGGCCACAGCCTTGATGTGTAGCAACTCCTCAAAGATGAGGTCCAGCTCCTCATCTGTGCGCTGACCCGGACTGCGGGCACAGGGCGGCCGGGAGGCAAACAGCGCACTTTGGACCTGAGGGCACGGGAGCCACGCCGCCCGCCACGCTGGGGCCTGGGGCTAGCCGGCCTCAGCAGTGATGGTGACCGGTAATGGGCCAGCCACTACTGCGTGCACACCGCGTGCCGGCCTGAGGCCCAGGGCTTCGCACGTGTTATTTCAACCTGCCCTCGTGACCACCCCGTGATGTGGGCATGGCTCTCCTCCTTTGACAGAAGAGGACGTTGGCATGGAGAGGCCCAAGGCCACCCAGGGAGTCACCTGGAACTGGAACCCGAACCCAGACCTGCCCGCCTGCCCCCTCCCAGGCACCGCTGCACCTGAGCGCGCAGGGTCTTCGTAAGCCCCGTGCCTTCCACCCACAGTTACAAAGGAAGAAACCGGTTCAGAGGTGGGGAAGGGGGCTCCAGAGCACACAGCGAGAAGAAAGGGAACCTCTCAGAGATGAAACTGAGAGACTACAGAGTCTGAGAGCCGTGCGAGGCCTGGGATTGCGGGCTGCAGGGCTCCCGACTCACGGCTTTCGGAGTGCCACGGTGAGCAGGGCATCGGGCCCCCGCTGGGAGAGCAGGGCCACAGCCTCGACCAGCTCCTCCTCCAGCTCGTGGATGCCCACGGTCTCTGGCTCCGGCCCAGGGAAACGGTAGAACTGGGTGTCTCGGTCCTGGAAGGTCCAGTCGTGTTTCACTGCAGGGCAGAGGCCCGGGTGTGAGGGAGGCGACAAACCGAGGCCGTGTGGGTACGAGGCCCCCACCGTAATGCCCACCGACGCCTCGCCCCCAGATGCCTGCTCCCCAGGACTGCCAGGCCCGGGGGCCCCACCCTGGGCTCGGGCTCACCATGGCAAAGGGCACCTTCATCCAGCAGCACCTGGCAGATTCCCACGGCTTGGCTCCGGGAATGGACCCCAAGGCCCAGGGCCAAGATGCCATCCACCAGCTCCCGGCCGGAGCAGCATTGCCTACGGGGGGTAAGGGGACAGGGAAGAAGAGGGAGAATTAAAAGGCAGGAGGGTGGAGGGCAGAAGGGGGAACTTTGGGTCAGAACGGTGCCTTTCTAGGCTAGCAGCAGGGCGAGGCCCAGAGGCCTGAAGGAGAGCAAAAGGGAGAGAAGATGGGGGTGGGCAAGGAGGCAGCCCAGGCCTCCACTCACCGATAGAGCCGAAGGTGGTACTTCCGGTCTCGGATAAGGGTCGGGCAGGTGGCCAGGAGTTGCCGATGCAGCTGCTTCCCAGCCCTGAGCACCCGCTCTGTGGAGGCCTAGGACAGGGAGCGTCCCAGCGGGCTCAGGCCCCGAACCCCTGGCTTGCTGTCCCCTCCCAGCTCCACCCCTCCCGGCTGGTACCTGCTCCAGGCTCACGCTGAAATCCAGGGACTCCTCACTGTCAGTGAGTGGCGTCTAAGGGCAGGGGGGAGGGTCTGCACGTTAGTGCCAGCTCTTGGACCTCAGCCCTCCCCCTTTCCCTCACCTCTTGCCCAGTCCCCAGCTCCAAACACATACACTTAGCTACTCGGTCAACAAATAAACTAATGCTCCCCGAGCACCCCTGTGCGCCAGGCATCCACCTCTTCCCACCCTATCACCAGACCCTTGTCTTCCTTCTAGACACGAACACTGCACCCCAACAGATGAGATCCCCATTCTGCTTACTCAGGGCCCACGTGTGCCCAGGCCCCCAGGTAAACCACACCTGTGTAGGGAAGAGAGCTGAAAGAGCATGAGGATGGGAGGTAAGAAAGGCCCATGTCGTGCCAGGAAATGAACATCTTTGCTCCCGGCCTGGGGTCACGAAGCCTAATCCCGAGCCGGGGTTCATCCCCAGCCACAAGACCTGGGGACTCTTGGATTCAAATCCCTATTCCTTCATTTACTAGCAGTGGGACCCTAAATATATGGTTTAACTTCTCCCTGTCTCAGTTTCCTTGTCTGTAAAATTTATAAAACACTCATAATACCAATACAGAGGCTTTGGGAAGGGTTCTGTGAATTAATGTGTATTGAATGTTTAAAGCACAGCTTAGCACAGAGCTGTATGTACATGTTAGCTATTATTACTCATCAGTGAAGCAGAGGGCAGGCTGCCTGCTGGAAAGCCCCTGTGCTCTCTGAGATGCTGCTGCTAGCCCATAACCCTGCAAGAGTGAGTAAGTCTTGACAGCACCCAGGACTGGCTCTGGAAGACAAGATTTATGTAGAAACCCTGGTTAACAAGGCTGCCAGGCCCTTGGTATCAACTGAGCCATCCAGGACCCCAGGGCCTGTATGTCCCGGGATGTTGGCCAAAACAGCCCCTTACAACCCTTCTTTCTCTGCCACCTGGAATTTGTGGACATCTCTGGACAGCATGCCCGACCCTCCATGAGCCCTCCCAAAGGCAGAGTACTTTACGGTTTACAAAGCATGTCTCGCTCCATGATTTCCTCTGATCCTAGACAGAAGAGGACCAGATGGAAAGTAGGCAGAGCAGGGATTGTCTGTCTTCTCTGACTTAGGAAACAGAAGTCTTGGGGTGAAGAGCTCGTGTAACTCAGTCACACGTACATGGGATAACCAGACAGCTGTGCATAAACTCCAGAAGTGCTCACATTCTTGGTCTCACCCCACCCACCGCACCTGCCTGGTTCCTGCCCCCCTCTCACTAGCTCTCTCTCCTGCTTTCCCAGCTGCACTCAGGGCCCTGAAAAGGACCTGGCTGGGGAGCTGGGGTGCAAGCAGGCCCGGGGCCAGAACCCCCTCCCCTGGTCCTGGCATCTTCCCCCTGTGTGCCAGGCAGAGGCCTGAGGTCGGGCACGCACAGGCGCCTGGCCCGGGGCTGGGCGGAAGTCGCTAGGTGTCCCTAGGGTATCCCTGCCCGGGTCAAGGGGCCCAGCCTGGTGCCAGACACAGAGCCCTGGAGACTTAGCAACAGGAAATGAGGAGGAGGAGGAGGAGGAGCCGGGGAAGGAGGAAGGGCAGGAATGCTACCCAGCCAGCCCCCTGTGTCGGAACAAACAGTGCCGAGTGCTAACGACTTGTTGTTGTTCGTGTCAAAACGCCCAGGTGGCCCCGTCCCTGCCCCAATTCTCCCTGGTGCCCACGACCCAGGCTCCAGCCTATGCTCCCTTCCTGGTATTATTCCGACCCTGGAGGGCACATGAGGAGGGTTGGTGCCCGCTTCTGTGGCCAGGCTGGGCACAGCCCAGATCCTAGATCCCCAGGCCTTGGGGAAACCGTTTCCTGCCCTGCCCCAGGGAATAAGCACGAGGGTCAGGGGAAGGGGGCTCTGGCCCGTCAGAGCTGAGGAAGGTTCCTGAAGGCATCCCTCTCCATCTGCCAAGGAAAACGGGAGCCCAGAGAGATGAAGTAACTGACCCAGAGTCACACAACTACTCAGAAATTCTAGAGCCTACTGAATAACCAGCGCTGGCCCTGGAAGGAGGTGTTTGTCTCCTACCTCGCAGCTGGAGAGAAGGAGGCTCAGAGGTTATATGACCTGTCCTGAGAGTTGGTGAAGAGGGGCACCGGGATTCACGCTGTGCCTGCCCGATTCCAAAACACAAGTCCTTAACCACGAGGCACTAGGGCCTCCCAGGCACCTCCATGGCCTCGTGTTTCCCCCACCTTGTGCTCTGGACAGATAAATTTTGCCCTCAGGAATGTTCCATGGGTAAGTAAGTTTGGAAAACATTGCGTTAAACAAAGTTGCACGGGTTTGTTATCATAGTCCCTCTGGGTCCCTACCATGTGCATGTGCACTGGGAATGTCCTAGGATGGGGGCGAGGGTGCTAGTCAGGAGATCTGGTCAAGGTTGGGGGCTCCCGATCCAGATGCGCAGGTCAAATCTCAGCTCCCCATTACCAGCCAGTTGGGTGACCTTGGCTGCTTATTAACCTCCATGTGCTTCAGTTTCCTCATCTGTAAAATGGGGTTCATGATAATAGTACCTATCTTATAAGGTAATTATGAGGGTCAAATGAGTTAATAACATAAAGCACTCGAAGCGATGCTTGGCTTGTGGTAACCACTCAGGAAATGTTAAGTAACTTTGATTAAACTTCATTATTTTATGATGGGTGCCTATTACCCGGACATAATGCAAAAAATATTGTACCTTCGCTAAACCTGTCCCTCATCTGATAACCCTGAGTGTCACCCTAGGGGTTCTCAGTTGGAAAGAAGTGGCTGGTATGGGGGGGTGAAGGCCCTTGCCCACTGCGTCCCCTCCTGCCCAGACAGGAAGGACTCAGGGTAGAAGAGGAGGTGGTAGCTAGCTTCCCTGGCACCAGCGCCATAAACCTGCCCCACCCTCCCTCCCTGTCACTCGGTGTCAGAGCCACACTGGAGGGGCCGGCACTGAGCCAGACAGCCTCGTGGGGACCTGTCAGACCAGTTCCCTTAGGCCATGGCTAGGGTCTCAGGCCAGGGCTGTGTGTGTTGGGACAGGGAGAGGACGCAAGGGGAGGGGTGATGCTTTGGCGGGGGGGCGGGGGGTGGCGGTCACTGTTACCATCTGCAGCAAAAGAAAGTACATCATGAGCTCGGCCTCTACATAGCCAGATCACCTGGGACAGAAGCCTCACTTTGTCTCTTAGCAGGTGTGTAACCCTGGACCTGTCACTTAGCCCCCCCTACCTCTGTTTTCTCATCTATAAAATGAGATGATGACATTAGTATCTATCTCACAGGGCTATTGTCAGATGATTTGATATGTTAAAAGTAAAGCTCTTATAATAGTGCCTGGGACTGGGGCGCCTGGGTGACTCAGTCAGTTAAGCGTCTGCCTTCGGCTCAGGTCATGATCCCAGAGTCCTGGGATCGAGCCCCGCATCAGGCTCCCTGCTCAGCGGGGAGCCTGCTTCTCCCTCTGCCTCTCCCCCTGGCTTATGCTCTCTCTCAAATAAATAAATAAAATCTTAAAAAATAATAGTGCCTGGGACCTAAGTTTTAGACAACTATCAGCTACTACCATTGTTTGGACAGGTGGGATGAAAGCATGTTTTCTGAGTTAGAGAATAAAGCCACCTCCCCCAAAACAATCTCTCAAAGGGAAGCTTCTCTGAGCTTGTAAGAACCACCAGAGGTATCCTGATCTTGCCCTTGCCCCTGGATAAATTGATTCTTCTCTGGCTTCCAGACATCAGACAAGATCTCCTCTCTCTCTCTCTCGCATTTTCCAAAGGAGCTGTTCTTCCATCCCATTCCAGGGTCACTTTTGCCATAGTTGGTAAATCTTTTCTCTATCTAACCTCGGGCCGTCCTGCTGGAACTTGCTTTCATTTTCTCTTGTCCTGATCTAGTCGCAACAGAAGGGCCCTCTTGAGGCCTCAGGAGATTGATGGGTTCCCCCTGGTTTTCTAAGAGGCTGTCGTGGCCTAAATAACTGTCCACACTGTCCTCCTAGCCTCCACCCCTTTACAACATCCACCCTTTACCCCATGTGTATACACTCCCTGCCAGCCCCTCGTTCCCTCAGGTGAGCGGTGCAACTTCCCGGGTACCCAGAGCCTCTTAACCAGCTGCAGTGGGCTGAAACCAACCCCCCCACCCCCGCCGCGACTCCCCAGAGGTGGTCATCAGGAGAGGGTGTGGCCCTTGCCCCCAGCCCTAAAAATCTAAGTTCCCTTTAATTACCCATTCCCACCTACCCCCACACACAACTGGCTGGGTGGGGTGGGGGGGCAGGGGGGCTGTGTTTCAGTGACTTTCAGCCCATTTCCACTCCAGCAACCCTTACGCCACTCTTCTGGCCTCCCCACACACCCCAGCTCTTCAATTCTGGGGGCCGGAGAAGTCAGGAGACAGCCTGGCGGCCTCTTCCACTCCCCCGCCAAGTCTTTGGGTCCCAGGGGATCCTCCAGTGACCTCATTGTCCCGGCACCTGCCCTTTCCCCCACTCCCCACCTTGCCTCTACAAGCTGGGAAGGGGACAGGAAATACACAAGTAATTATAGTCTGAGAGGGAAGGAGGGAGGGAGGGTTCCAGCCCACAGGCTCCAAGCAGTAGCTCCTGCCAGTGAGCTGGAGGGGTGAGGGAGATGGCTTGGCCCAGAAGGGGCCGGCTCCCCTGCTCCCTCCGGAGCCCCATCTTGAGCAGGACCCAGGCCCAAGTGGCCCCTGATCAGGAAGACCCAGGGAGGGAGGGAGGGGTTGGGGGAGAGCTAGGGACTGACACCTAGATTATCCTCTCAACTCTGATTGTGGGGAGGCCCCCATCACCTTAGCAGACCTCGTTTTTCTCACTCAGCCTCATATTCTGATAAATATAAATGGCAGTTGGGCAAGAGGTAGGAGGAAAGAGGCAGAAGGTGGTGGTCCTCCTACTCAAAGGGACTTGCTGATAAGAGACATAGGTGACAAGCTCTCCCAATTCTGTCACCTGCTCCTGCTTTCCCTCTACCCCTTTGCCCAAGTACCCTCCTGGCACCCCCCACCCCCTGCCAACGCTATCCCCATGGCCCACAGAATAGACACACGCTGAATCTCAGGGGAAGGAACTCTGAAGTCTGGGTGGTCGGAGAGAGCTTCTCTGCTGATCTGGATCCTGTCCCCCACCCCGCACCCCACCCCTCTTCCCCCTCCTGCCCTCTCCTTTATTCTCACAGCTCCAGGAGGTTCCTCACTGGCAAAGGGAGACTCCAGCTCCAGGCTCCAAACTTCTCAAAATCCTCCCCTGAGCCCCCCAGAGCCAGATGCCAAGCAGCGTTCACATGACCACCTCACCCCAAGATCAAGAAGAATTGGCGCAGTTCAGCGGCTCGCTAAAGGAGAATGTTGCCACGGTGATAGATCCAGAACAGCAACCAAGCTTGCCTCACCCTCCACCTTGACCTGGCCCCCAGTATTTCATACATGCCTCCCACCACCACCTGGAGGACACACAAGCACTTAACAGGGCGCACAAAGGTGACAGATCTGTGACAAATCCCTTTCCCCTTCCCCCACGCCAGCATGGGCAGATGTGAGTACCACACGCACACAGACACACGCGGTGCGGCTGCTCGACCCACTGTGCAGCCCAGCAGTGGCCCCTGCGCCCCCAGCAGCGTACTCCGTCTCCCAGTCTAGGCCCTCCTCCGGTCCCGGTGGCTGGCCCTCGCCAGGGCAGCTGATGGGCACTCACCCAGCGGAGCCCCTGGATGCGGCCGGGGCGCTGGTGCTCAAGCAGCAGCTGGTAAGAGCAGCTTCGGGGCCGGTGCATCCTCTTCAGCACCATGTTGAGCAGGGTCCCCTCCGGCACCACGTCCGGGAGGCCTCCCACCTGTGCCGCTCCTAGAGCTGGGCTGCCATCCACGGCCAGGCCCACCCGCCAGGGGCTCTCACCTGGCCAGCCCACCTGTGACGCAGGGAGGAAGGCAGAGAGCCATGGGGCTGGGGCTGGGGCTGGGGCTGGGGCTGGGGCTGGGGCAGCTGGACCAGGGCACAACCGCCCCAGGCAGAACCACGTCCTTTGAGTCCTCTGGACTGGTCAGGCGGAGGTGCTGCAATCCTGCCAGGAGCCGGGGGAGGGACAGGAAGACCTTCACTGGGGCCTGCCCGTCTGGCGCACTTCGGGGTCTCCAGCTGGTGGACCGGAGATCGGGCCTTTCTTCCCGGTCTCCTTTGGACTTCTGCCCCACCCCACTGCCCAGGTCCCTGAAGGGATCTCTGCCACCTCCCAGTGTGAGGCTGTGGACTCACTGAAACCCCCAGAAATGCAGCTCCAGCTCAAACCCCTCTTCTCCCCTTCTCCTTCACCCCTGACCAGCCCTCTCTCTCCCACCCAAACACCCCACCCACCATGTCATCTTCCTCTCCTGCTCCTGCCGGCCCTGACCCCACCTTACCCACCTTCATGTTCCTTCGCAAACGTGCACAGCCCTGCAGGCTCGAGCAAAAGGCTGGGGCGGGGGAGACCCTCCGCGAGACCCCGACTGCTCCCGGAGGGGTGTGGGCTGGAAGCCCCAGGCGAAGTGACCAGGGTAATTCCTAGCTGGACCCGCTGCCAGGGCTAAGCGTTGGGTGGAGAGGCTTCTTTTGGGTGGGTAGAGGGCAGGGGGCGTGGGGGGAGTCCCCCCCCCCAGCGGCAAGGAGCCCCAGGCCTCCGCCTCCGTCCCAGGCGAATGAGCCAGCTGGCACCGGGCGCCGAAGCGAGGCTGCCGCTGGCACTGGTCCGGGCGGGAGCTGTCACACCCCCTGCGCTCCCCGCCCCCTTCCCCTCCCCGGGACGGGTTGAGAGGGCGGAGAGGAGGCGCCCAGCCGGACGGTGGGGGAGGGCGCAGGGAAGGGGGCGGGCTTGAGCAGGGGGGTGGAGTCCGGACTCGGGGGTAGCGGGGCGGGCGCCAGCCCGAGGCCTGAGAAGCCCCAGGGGGCAGGAGCGGCCCGGCTTTGTGTGCCAGGGCCGCAGCGGCCGGGGTGTCGGGGTAGGGGTGGTGAGTGGCGGCACCGGCCGCCACGTGGCCGGGAGGAGAAATGCAAACAAGGAAACCGGGGGAAGGGGGAGGGGGGGTGAGTCATTGCGGCCCCACCCGGGAGGGAAATCCGGGCTGGGGCCGCTTCCCGGCCGGGGGCGTCCTGCCTCCTGCTTCGGTTCAGGGTCTCGAACAGCCCGGGGGAGGGACTGGGCTACTTTCCCGTGGGGAATCCCGCTGCGGAGCCTCCCCTCCCCGCCCCCGCCGGACACACACACACGGGCGCGGGTGGGGAAATTGAGGCTGGGGAAGAAGGACTGCTCTCCAGAAGGGATGGGGGCCGGAGTTGGGGCGGAGCTGCGGAGGAGAGGGGGGTTTCTAGAACCACGCCCCCAGCGCGCTCCCTGGCTGCCGGGCGGCTGGCGGCAGAGCCTCGGGATTCCAGAGCCCTCTACAGGCTCTGTACCAAAGGCCGGTCGCTTTCCTGGGCTTCAGTTCCCCGCTCCGCGCAGAAGGCCCAGAGCCGCCCTCCTCGCCCCACTCCTGCTTCGGAGAGGGTGGAGAGACAGCGGCTCCTCACCGCCACACCCGCAGCGCCCAGTAATTGGTCAGGACGGGGATGAGGGTTTGGAAAGGAGTCGCACGCCCCGCCCCCTGGCTTTCTAGGACTCACTTTTTTTGGCCCAGTCTCGGTCCCTTTCCCTTTGCTGCTGAGCCTGCCTGAATTGGGGAAGACACTAAGCATCCTGCCAGCTTTGGGACGCTGAGCCCCCATGTCCCACCGAAGATTATTTTCTCGGAGCAGTTTTTAATGGTGATTAAAATCTCAGTTTTAATGTGTATTTAAAAATCCACCCAGGAGCTTATCAAAATGAAAGTTTTATCCTCCCCACTCCCCCAAAATTCAGATTCAGTTCTATTGGCATGTAACGGAAAATCTGTGTTTTGAGCAAATACACAAGGTTATCTGCTGGGTTCACATTTTGAGAAATGCCCCTTCAGGGAAGGAGGGGAGCCTGAGAATATATTTGGCCCCAGGCCCAAACCCACCCACCCACGTTCTGGGAATTTGGAAGAAGCGAGAACAGCTTAGTTGTTGGCAGAAAAGAATAACAGGCTAGGGGCACAAAGGTGCATGCAGAAGAGAGTTGAGGGGAGTTAAGGCTTTAGGTTGCTGGGGCTAGTGACCTGATCTAGAAGGTCTTGCAGAGGAGTTTCAAGGGACGGGCAGTGGGGTCAGAAAGAGGTTCCCCATTTTGTCTTTATACCTGCCCTTATTCAGGCAGGTGGAAAAGGAGCTGGCAAATGAAGCAGGACATCTGCATACCTGCAGACTTCTCAGCAAGCCACGAGAGGCTGTAGGTGCCTGGCACTGTTCCAAGTGCTTCACCTATGTAATCTCTGCCGCTCGTTACCCTGTGAAGCCGCACTACCCTTATTCCCACTTTATATGCACGGGGAAACTGAGGCCCCGAGGTATTAAGTGACTGGCCAAGGTCACATAGCTAGCAAATGATGAGCTGGGGCTTCAACCCAGGTTGCCAGGCTCCACTTAACCCCCATGCTGTACTGCATTGTGTATCCATCATATTCATTCTCCTAGTCTGGACTCTATGCCTAAAGGAGAAAGCTATGGAAAGGGAAATTGAGCCTGTGTGCAGGGGTTGGGGTGGAGGGTGCGAGGGTCCAAAAAAAGCCGTTCAAATCGGTGCAAATGGAAGTGTCTCAGACCCACTTTCCCCCCACCTATGTTCTCCCTCAACACTACTCTTTCCTTTTCTCGGGGCTCTTTCTCATTCCCCCTCTCCTGGGAGACAGAGAAAATGGCTGGGGTGATTGCCTGTTCCCTGGCAGCCAGGGCATTGGACCTCCCACTGGTCTCGTTCTCATTACTGGCAGGCAAAGCCTCCTGCCTCCCCCCCCCGACCCCCCCACTTCCCAGGCAGATGATGGGCCTGGATTTTTCCTTCTTGGGATTCCTGAGTGAGGGCTGCTTCGTAGAATTGCCACTCAACAGATGTTTAATCAGGGCTGAGGCCTGCAGGTGGTGGAGGACAAGGGGAGTGTGTCTGAGGAAGACATCCCAAAGACAGATGGTGAGGCATCTCCAGAACAATCATGCTCTGCCCCAGTGCAACCTTCACCCTCCCCTGACTGTCATTAGATGCCTGGAGATGTGTTAGGACCGATAAATAATAACAAGAGTTACCCTGCCTCAGGCCCTGCTGTTGATTCATTACATACATGCATGTTTTTAATCATTACAGCAATACTATAAGAGAGGTCTAATTGTCATCCCATTTCACAGATGAGGAAGTTGAGACACAAGAAGGTTAGATGGCCTACGCAAGGTCCCCTAACTAGGAAGACGTAGAGCAGTGGGTTCTACCCAAGCCGTCAGGAGTCCTGTGTGCTTTTCCATTCTGCAATCCTGCCTCTCAAATACATCAACAGTTCCCATGAAGGGGAAAACGCCCTTATCCAGAGTCATTTCCCCCACAGCTGGATGCACAGGCTCCAGAGGGAAGGGAAGGGTGAGGCAGATGATGGAAGCTGAAGGGCAGGGCCCCTTGACGCAGTCTCCCCATACAAGGAACTCTCCGCCAACCCTGCCCATTCCCTTCAGGCAGATGGCAGGGGACTGCAGAGGCCCCCAAAGAATAATGGAGGAGGGTGCATGGGTAAGGAGAGGCCTCTCTGCCGAACTGTCCACTCAGAGCCCACAGCTTCCTGGATCCTCACAGGTGCCTCACAGGCGGGGGGTGGGGGGTGGTTGTCTGGACTCCCTCCTCCTGCCCTGCCTCTCCCCGCCGCCCTGCCTGCTCCCTGCTCCAGGAGCCCCACTCCCACCCCCACTGCCTAAGCCCCCAACTAGATTCCTCCGTGTCTCCTCCCACATCCAATCAGCCATGCCACCAGCTCTGGCCCAGTCGACGGAGGAATAATCTGTTACATTCAGCCCTTAATGCCTGCTGCAACTGCTCTGGCCCCAGGCTGGCCTCTTCCAGCACTTACTATGCGCAGGGTGCTAGATCACTTCATGGACTTCGTCTGAGAGAACACTCTCCGCTTGCAAGTGAGGACACTGAGGCACAGAGAGGTGAAGTAAGCTGCCCGCGGCCCCACAGTGGAGTTTGGTAGAGCCAGACCCAGGCAGCTGGACTGCAGAGCGCACACTCCACCACTCTTGGGGACTGCCTCCCCGTTGCTGCTCTCAGCCTCGCCCTCCTCGCCCCCTCACTCTATCCTGTGCCCTGCTGCACAATCCTCAGGTCATTCCGCCGCATATGCGGAGCCCCGGCAGCGCTGTTCTCAACTAGGAACCTAGAACTGAGCAGACCCTGGGCTGCACGGGCACAGGGCCAAGTGGAATTTTCTTTATCTCCTTAACACACCCATCTGGTCAGGCCTCCCTGCCCAGCACAGTGTCTGATGCAGAGCTTAGCGGTGAAAATGAAATGAGTGGGAACTGTGGGAGACCAGCTGGTGCCCACCAAGGGCTGTACCCCAGGGCCAGGGGAGGGAGAGGGGCTGCTTTTCCAGCTCCCCGTGGTCCAGCTTCCGAGGCATCTGGTTCCATCTCCCTCCCTCCTCGCTGCTTCCCTGCCACCTACTCTGTTCTCCCGTCCTGTGCTACAGACTTTGCTCACAGGCTCAGCTCTGTCGTCTGAGATTGGTTGGTGGGATGCACGGTGGGAGGTTAGAGGAGGGTTTAACTAATGGGCCTACGGGACTGCAGGAAAGGGCCGGCTTGGAGACCAGAGGTTGGAAGGGCTCTGCCTGGGAGCCCTAGCCTGCTGCAGGCTCCCTCAGCATCCCTGGGATTCTCCCTGGGCCGGGGCCGATTGACAAGGGAGAGGAACTTGAGCCCAGTACCCTCATGGGGGCTCTGCCTCCTGGCCCTGGAAGGTTTCAAGTCCTCCCGTACTTGCCCAGGTACCTTGCCCTGAAGGTGGTTCCAGTTCAGTTCCCGGCTCCCCTCCCTGCCCATTCCTGGGGTGGGGGGCAGAGACAGGGAGCCGAAATGCTAATGAGCACCGAGCCAAACTTTCTCAGGACGAGCAGGTCTCAGGCAGGCGCTCAGGGGCCACTTTGACAGCAGTGGCAGGAGGAGAAGAACAACGGGCTCCTGCCTTCTCCAGGTGGGGGAGGTCAGCCAGCTGGGAGGGAAGGCTGGACAGGACTGGGGGCCGGTGGGGATCTGACCCCATACTTTCCGGGAGGCACATTCTCCTGGCTGGTGCTCAAGCTAGTCATGTGCGAAAGGGGCAAGGAAACAATCACTGAGCTGGCCCGTGGTGGTGACGGTGGTGGCTGGAGGGCGAGGAGAGGCCGGGAGAGCAGGAGGGAAGGCAGGGGCAGGTCTGGAGCTGTGTGGGAGGGAACAGGTCTGCCTAGCAGGCAAATGTGCTCTTCTATGAATGTGCATAAATAAGGAGCTGCTTTTGTTTCTCAAGGGCTCTGTGTGTGTGTGTGTGTGTGTGTGTGTGTGTATCCCAAATACCCAGGAGACTCTGCATCTGAACTTGAGTGATCAGTGCTGGGAAGTGGCAGCTCCAGGTCAGGCTCGGAGCGCCTCTCCTTCTCCCTCACTCCTGCAGCTCTGTCGGAACTTCCAGCCTACACTTGCCTTTACCCCACGCACACCACTCCTAGCCTTTCCCTGAGGCTCATCACCCCCACCCCCTCCTCCCCCTTGCCTTCTCCCAACATTCCCGGCCTTCCCAGAAGCCCAGTCTCAAGTGCTCCAATCTCCTGGCCCATCCTAGGCCCATGGCCTTTGTTCAGGACTCAGACTCTGCACCCACATGACCCTCATGTTTTAGACCCCTGGCAGGAGCAGCTGCAGGAGCCTGAGGGAGGGCTCCTAGGAGGGCTCCGGCCCTGCTCATGAGATGCCCCGTTCTCTGCTCATGAGATGCCCCATTCTCTCTGGACCTAGAGCACCGGCTGAGAAGGGACAAGGGTGTGTAATCAGGCAAGCAGGCCAGGGAGAGAAGCCCCTTCCTAGCCTCAAAGCAGACCTCAACCTGCCCCCAAATCCCAGTCAGGAAGTGTTGGGGCCAGAGAAGAAGCTGAAGAGTCCAAAGACTTCCTGGCACCAGAACCACTGCCCATTTCCTCTCTCCTGAGAGGACCTGGGAACAGCCCAGAGGAGATTACAGAGATGGAGTCCAGAAAGGAAAACAGAAAAGAGAGGGGTGTGCAGTTCTGACTGAGAGAGACAGCCGTAGGTCACTCCCTCCGCTCCCGGTATCAGTCTGTACCTCCAGGACAGGGAGACAGCACCAGCTGCTCAGACCTCCACCCCAGGCCTGGGCCTCAGGAAGTCCTTCCTGCCCTTGGCCTTGGTGCCTCCTCCTCTAGAGGCCTCACCTCTGGAGAAATGGAGAGTCACCTCCACTTAAACACGATGCAGGGGCAGGTAGAGAGGCCACCTCAGCTTTTCTGTTCTCATGCCACAAAGGCCTACAGGGGCCACACACCTGGCACTCACCGCAGCCAACATTAAATCACTTCCTAGTTATGGTCAGTGATTCCTCCTTCGAGAGAAGGTGAGCTCCGAAGACCCGGCTCTTCGAGGCCAAGGCTGCATGCCCCGCCCAGTCAGGGCCTTGTGCACAGAAGGTCCTCAAGGGAGGTTTCTTGAGTTCAGCAGGTAAATGACCTTCCCCCTCTCCTGCTGGGTCCTTTTCACCTCCCTCGTGGCTCCCCCACATCTGCCTTCCTTCCTGGTACCTTTCCACCCACCCTTGACCACTCCTCACCCTGCGGCAGGCCATCTCTAGACCACCCCTCCCTCCTCCAGGAAGCACCCTCAGATGCGGCCACTCTCCAGGCCACTTTTCTTGGGTCCCATGCTCTCCCATGCTCTGGACCAAGCACAGGTGACGGCCTTATTTCTAGTCTCTTTATCTCACCCAGTGTCCCTGCAGCTGGACTAGGGCAGGACCCACATGTATCGATTAAACCTCTGTGATGACTTTCTCATTCAATCAATCCAATCACCAAACTCAAACAACAGGACAAGCTGTGCACCTCCCTGAGCCAGGCTTTGTCCTGCAGGAAACATCAGCAGCCTCCCCTCCTGCCCTCAGCCCTGCTGGTCTCTCACTCCCCACAGCTCCGGAGTAAGTCCACCTCCACGTGGAGGTGAAGAGCAGTCTCTCTCTCCCTCCCCCCGCTCCTTCCCTCCCTCCCTGCCTCCCTCTTCATCCAACAGCAAGCCCACAGGGAAAGGGAAAGAGAGTTGGAGTAGGTACCTGTGATCGAGGGTTCTGGTCGGAAGATGGAGGTCACCAGGACACCCCAGGAGAGGCAAGCAGGCCTGGGCCCCACGCTGCCCTCCCAAACAGTACTGCGGCTGTGATCACACACACACACACATACACACACACACTCCCCATCTCCCCACCTGCTGCCTCTGGCTTTGCCTCCGATGCTCACTTAGCACTTCTCACCCTGCATCCTGCCCACTCTGTGGACTTCTAGGCTGTCAGTGGGCAGGCAGAGGAAGTGGGGTCTCAGTGAAAAGGCAGACTCTGAGCAGTTTCACTCTCACCCTAAGAAGCAAAGACATCCCCTTCTGGGGGCAGAAGGCAGCCACAGCCCTGGGGAGGAGCCCAGGGGGGCAGGGGAGTGAAGTGACCCCCAGGGAGCCCTCAACTCAGGATGTTTTTCTACAACCTGGACAGCTGGGACGCTTATGATGGGGCCAGATCCTCCCTTCAGTGAGGCACCTGCTCCCCCTCTTAGAACAGTCCTTTCTGCTCTGGTCTATCAGTCTGGCCTCAGGAGGAAGACGAAGCTGCAGGAGGTGGGACTGGAGTGAGGGGGTGATCTTATTCAGGGTCCTCGGCCTCGAACTCCACAAGAGCTGGGGGTGGGCGAGGGGGCCATGCGATGTCTGGGGAGAATCTTGTGGAACTCACCACCTAAATTCAAGCACAGGAGATTTTTCGCCCAACCTCAGAAAGCTGGGCCTAGAGGCACAAGGTTGGAGAAGGCTGCCCCCTAGAGCTAGGATCAAAGAATTCTTTATGGACAGCTAGCCATTGTTATACTTAGTGTACAAACTTTTATTGAGTTCCTCCCTATGCACCTGGCCTTAGACTAGGTACTGGGAATGAGGAAGCAATCAAGACAGGCAATAGCGTGACTATCACGGTTTGCCCTAGACTAAGGGATTTCCTGGGATGTGGGACTTCTAGTGGTAAAACCAGGACAGTCCTGGGCAAACCAAGAGGAGTCGGACCCTATCACATAAAGCCCCTGCCCTCATGGAGGTTATATTCCGAAGGGATAGGAGAAGTGGGGGCTAAAGGTAAACAAACACAATTTCACATAGTGATAGGTGCCATGAAAACATAAAACCGGGTGGCAGATCGTACTTGAGATAGGGAGGACAGCATTGCCTCTCTGAGGAAGTAGAGTCTGAGCTGATGAACGATGAGGAGGAATCAATCTTCTAGGCACTCAGAGAAGAGATTTCCAGGCCCGAAGTCCAAAATCCCCGGGACAGGAACAAGTGTGGCACGTTCGAGAAACAGAAAGAAGGCCCGTGCGCTGGAATTGGAATGAATGGTCAGAATAGCTGGAGCCGGCAAGGCCCCAGTCAGTTTACTCCACGAGAGATGGGAAGCTCACGAAGGGATTAAGCAGGAGAGTACCATATTCTGCTTGTTATCTTTAAAAGACGGTGCCAGCCGTTGGCTGGAGAATGGACTGGAAGGGAAGGGATGAGCAGAGGAAGACCAGTTTGGAGACCCTTGCCAATGGGCAGGGGCTGGACGAGGGTGGTGACAGGGAGAAGGAGAAGAAGGACAGGGCAGACCCCACTGTACTTGCTAATGAATTGGATGTGGGGAGGAAGGAAAGCGAGGACTCCGAAATGACCCTGGGGTTTGGGGCTGGAGCCACAGTAAACAAGGACATGCCCCAGAAGGCATGCGAGATCCCTCTGTGTGGGGAGTAAGGAGCAGAGAGGAGGAAGCCCTGGCAAGTCCAATAAACTCAGGCAACCCGAGTATAGCTCAGTGGGGTTATCCTTGATGCAGCGCTGTGGGGGGAGAGATGTGTCTGGAATGTTCCTGCTTTGGGGGAGTGAGGATGGAATGTCTTGGGAGGCAAGATGCCTGCAGGTGGGAGTTAGAGCATGTCTTAATATTGGTGGGGCCCAATTTAAAAGTGACTCCTAAGGGATTGATAGTTCAGACGGGTTAGCCACATGGGATATGTTTACATGACCTGAAATGGGATGAGGGATTAGCTGTAACAAACAACCTGCAAATCTCAGTGGTTTAGCACAACAAAGGTGTGTTTTTCATTCACGTTACAGTTGCATGAGGACAGAGTGAGAGGTTTTGTTCCATTCATTCATTCAGGGGTCCCAAGCTCCTTCCATCATGTGGTGCCGCCATCTTCAACATGTGGCCTCCCAAATTATGACAGAACGGAAATAGGGAATTGAGGGTGCACGGAAGATTTGCATGGGTCCAGCCTGGAAACGGCACGCATTGCTTCCGCTTTGATTCCGTTGTTCAGAACTCAATCCCATGGCATCAGTTTCACTGCAAGGACACTGGGAAGGGTTCCAAGTTCAAATTAAGTGGGTGATGTGCCAGAAGAGTCCCTAATGGTGAGCATTAGTGAGCAGGGAGAGTGGCTATCTGTCTTGTTGGAGGGAGCAGGCAGCGGTGTCTTGTCTTGGGTTGGGATGGGAGTGTGCTCTCTGAAAGCACCTTGGAAAGGAAGCTAACGTGGGAAGACGTGTAAGTGTGGACACACTCATGTGCTTTGCAGAACACAACAGAATCCTTTCATTCTTTCCCATTGTCATGGCCTTTCTCCAGATAAGACCTTAATTATCCCACACCTTACCACTGAAATAGTCTCGTGACTGCTTTCTCTTCTACAATTTTCTTTTCCCGTTGAATCTAACCTGGACATCACAGTCTCAATAATCTTCCTAAGACATGGCTTATGTCCTGCTACTCCTATTCAATGAGGACAATAGCAACAATCTTTAAGAACAGCGAAAATAACTTGTTGAATTACTGTGTTGAGGGCTCTGACTGCAGTCTATCGATATATCTCAATTGTTGTAACAAGCCTACTAAGCATCATCACCCTCCCCATTACACGAGCAGAGCAACAGGACTCCCGAGAGCTTCCTGGGCTATCACAGTAGCCACTAGCCACCTGTGGCTATTTAAATTAAAATTAAAAACAATTAAACACTCAGCTCCTCAGTCACACTAGCCACAGACCAAGTATTCAGTAGCCACATGTGTGTAGTAGCTACCATTTTGAAGAGCAGAGACATAGAGTATTTTCTTGGCAGAAAGTTAGAAAGTTCTGTTGAGTTATGGGAACCTGCCTAGGGTCACACTGTAAGTGGTGACCCCATCTGAGTATAAAATCTTTCAACAGCTCCATATTACCTCTACAATCAAGAGTAAGGTTCAGGGGCCCCTGGGTGGCTCAGTCTGTCTTGGCTCAGGTCATGATCCCAGGGTCCTGGAATAGAGCCACGCATTGGGCTCCCTGCTCCGTGGGAAGCCTGCTTCTCCCTCTGTCTCCCCCCCACCCCAACTCTGACTTGTGCTCTCTCTCGCGCTCTCTCTCTCTCAAATAAATAAAATCTTAAAAGAAGAAGGTTCAGCCTGCTTTTAACCTTTCTGTACGACCTGGGCCAGCTACAGTTAGATAATTTTTTCTCATTAATTTCTTGTACGATCTCATACTTCGGAGTGACACATTTGCTCACTACTCTCCAACGCTCCCACTATGTCTACTCAGAATATTTTCACCCTCCTCGTTTCTGTCTGCCCAGATAATGAATTCCTAAATGACCTTTAAGGTTCAAATAGCTTCAATATCTGTCGAATCAGTTCCCACTTTTCCCTTCTCACTCTTTCAGCCGGAACCACCTTTCAGCTTCCCCTCATCTCTTGCCAGGGCCTCTGTACTGCACTGCTACAGCTAAACATACTTACTGAGCACCTACTATGTGCTAGGCACTCTTCTAAGCACCGACTCCTCGTCACGACACTGGAAGAAGATATCCCTGCTGTCCCCATTTTGCAGATGAGGTCACTAAGGCACAGCGAGGGGAAGGACTTGTCCGAATGAGTTCTCCGCTTCTAGTCTTTGCACAGGCAGCTGGTCCTCATGCTATTACCCTGGCCATATTTCTAGAACACGGAGCTCTTACTTCCCTCCCCTTAGCAGAGCACAAAGGCCCTTTATGTTCAGAATATTTCTAACTTCAAAACCCACCACTCCACCCACAGACCACAAACTATTTACAGTCTCCCCAAATCTGCCATGTTATTTCTTCCCTCCGGGCCGCACACATGCTGTTCCCACCGCCTGGAGTGTTACCCAGCCAGCCAGGGCTGAAGCCATCCGTGGCAGTGTACTCTGGACCATGGGGCTCACTCTCTTCTCTGACCGCATCACTGGCTCCCAGAGAAGGGCTGAGTGCTGAGCTTACCGCATGAAAATTACTTCTTATTAAAAAATACACTTCCGGGGCACCTGGATGGCTCAGTCGGTCAAGCGCCTGCCTTCAGCTCAGGTCATGATCCCAGGGTCCTGGGATCCAGCCCTGTGTCAGGCTCCCTGCTCAGCGGGGAGCCTGCTTCTCCCTCTCCCTCTGCCTTTAGCTCCCCCTGTTTGTGCTTTCTCTCTCTCTGTCAAATAAATAAATAAAATCTCTAAAAAAATAAAAAATACACTTCCAAGATTCAAATTTAATAAGCCATGGATGGATGGGAGTCTGTTTTTTTGTTTGTTTTGTTTTTGTTTTTGTTTTTGTCTTGATTGAGCTTTTATTTATTTTTTTATTATGTTATGTTAATCACCATACATTACATCATTAGTTTTTGGTGTAATGTTCCATGATTCATTGTTTGCGTATAACACCCAGTGCTCCATGCAGTACGTGCCCTCTTTAATTTTTTAAGAAGCTCCCAGACTATTCTGAAGTGAGGCAAGTGTGGTTTACACTGGTTTATATCACTCCCTGGGTAATTCATCATGTCCTGCCTGGACTTTAATGACGATCACCTTTATTATTTAATGCTTACCTCATTCACTGCCTTTACCTATTCAACAATGTTCATTAAGGGGCTACTAGGTGCCAGGCACTTTTCTAGGTGTTCATGTGAATGAAAGTGGCACAGTCCTTATTCATAGAGTTAACATTCTGGAAGGTTGTGGTAGGCAGAATAATGCCTCCCTAAGATGTCCACGTCCTAATCTCCAAAATTTTTGAATATGTTACTTTACGTGGCAAAGGAGATTTTGCTGATGTGATTAAGGTAAGGAAGTGGAAAAATTAGCTTGGATTATCCAGGTTCTTTTTTTTTTTTAAGATTTTATTTGTTTGTTTATTTATTTATTTATTTATTTATTTATTTATTTATTTATTTATTTGAGAGAAAGAGAGCACTTAGGCGGGAGGGGCAGGAAGAGAGGATCTCAAGCACAGAGCCGCATTCAGGGCTTAATCTCAAGACCCTGACCTGAGATCACGACCTAAGCCGAAACCAAGAGTCGGACGCTTAACTGACTGAGCCACCCAGGTGCCCCAGATTATCCAGGTTCTTGGTCACAGTGTCCTTACGAGGGAAGAGGGAGGCAGCAGAGTCATCAGTGGACATGTGACAACAGTAGCAGAGATCAGAGTAATGTGATTGTTAGCTTTGAAGATGAAGGGAGAGGGCCATGAGTCAAGGAATGTGGGTGGTTATAGAAGCTGGAAAAGGCAAGGAAGCAGATTCTCCCCTCCAGCCTCCAGAAGCAGGGCAGGCCTGCCATCGCCTTGATTTTAGCCCAGTGAGACCCACTGTTGGACTCCTGACCTGCACGACTGCAGGAGAATAAGTATTTGTTGCTTTAAGCCGTTAGATTTGTGGTGATTTGTTAT